AGCCCCCCGGGCCAGCGCCCCCGCAGCGGATATTCTCCCGCGCGGGCGCCCGGCCGAAGCCGAGGCCGCGCGCAGGCTTTCCCCGCGGAAGGGGCGCTTCTCGCAGGGCCAGGCGCGGCGGCGGCGGCGGCGGCGGCGGCTGCCCCGGCCTGCAGTGGCAGCAGCTCCAGCGGCTCCGAGAGCGGCTCCCCGGGGGCGGCGCCGCGGGCTCCTGCGGCGGCTCCGCCCAGGGCGGCAGCGCTGGGAACAGGGGCTCCGACGGCAGCTCCGCCCACGGCGGCAGCGCCAGGAGCAGGGGCCCCGAAGGCAGCTCCGACTGCGGCGGCAGCGCCGGGAGCTGGGGCTCCGACGGCAGCTCCGCTGGCAGCGACAGCGCCGGGAGCATGGCCAGGCGGCGGCGCGGCCACCGCGGCGGACGACGGCGCGGGCGCCGCGCCGCGGGCGACGGGTCCGAGGGACCCGCAGGCGGCGCCCCCCGCGGAGGCGGCAGCGGCGGCGCTCAGGGCGAGCGGCTGGGGCTTCGCGGCCGAGGGGGTCGCGGAGGGCGCCCTGGCCGAGGCGGTGGCGGCTGGCCTCCTCCGCTTCGAGGGCCGCCGGCGCTCCCGCTAGACGCAGGCGAGCACCCTGTCGAGTTCGAGTATGACGGGCTCAACTGGGCGCGGCTCGCACGCCCGCCAGACGCGGCTGGCGCACTGGGCCCCCTTGCCCCGGCCACCCCGCGGGGCGAGGCGAGCTCCGCGGGGCCGGTGGTCGGGGAGCAGGCGGAGAGGCGCGCGGGTGCGGCCGCCGCCGTCGCTACCCCGCCACGGGCGCGGAGCCGGACGGACTCCGCAGCAGAGGCTCCGCCGGCCGCTCCGCCTGCGGCGGCAGCGCCAGGAGCGGGGGCTCCGACGGCTGCTCCGCCTGCGGCGGCAGCGCCGGGAGCGGGGGCCCACGGCTGCCCCGCTTGCGGCGGCAGCGCCGGGAGCGGGGGTTCCGCCGGCGGCGCCGCCAGGGGCGGTAGCGCCGAGAGCAGAGCCGGTGAAGCGGCGGCTCTGGGCTGACCTAGCGGCGGAGGAGGAAGAAGCCGCTAGACTCGACGCCCTGCAGGCGGCGACCCTGCCCGCGGGGGGCGCGCGGGCTGCTGGAGGCGCGGCCGCCAGACCCGCCCCAGGCGCCACGGCGGCAGCGCGCGCGGCGGCGGCGGACCGCGCGGCGGAGGCCGCTCAGGCGGTGGCCTCGGCTGCGGCCGCGGACGCGGCGGCCGCGGAGGCTGCCGAGGAGCTGCGCGAGGCGGTGTGCGCCGCCTTCCAGCGCGGCTGGGCGCTTGTCAGGGTCGCCGCGCGCCACCTCGGCCTGCCCGAGGGCCGGCGCCTGCCCGCGGCCCGCGGCTGGGTGGCGCGGCAGGTGTCGCGCCTGGCTACGGCGGAGCTCCTCGAGCTCGCCGAGCTGCTGGGCGCCGCAGACTAGCCGCGCGGCGCGCGGCGCCGGGCTGCGCAAAACCGTTGCCCGGCTGAGCACTGCTGCTTTTGCTGCTTCCTTCTCCTCTTCTTCCCCTCCCTCCTCCTTTTGCTTTCCCCCTTTCCCCTTAAGTCGCCACGGGGCGCACCCCTCTTCGGCTGGTAAAAAAAGTATGTGTCTCTCTGTGTGTGTGTGTGTGTGTGTGTGCGTGCGTGCGTGCGTGCGTGCGTGCGTGCGTGCGTGTGTGTGTGTGTGTGTGTGTGTGTGTGTGTGTGTGTGTGTGTGTGTGTGTGTGTGTGTGTGTGTGTGTGTGTGTGTGTGTGTGTGTGTGTGTGTGTGTGTGTGTCTGTGTCTGTGTCTGTGTCTGTGTCTGTCTGTGTCTGTGTGTCTGTGTCTGTGTGTCTGTGTGTCTGTGTGTCTGTGTGTCTGTGTGTCTGTGTGTCTGTGTGTCTGTGTGTCTGTGTGTCTGTGTGTCTGCGTGTCTGCGTGTCTGTGTGTCTGTGTGTCTGTGTGTGGGACTCATGCGGGCGGTCCCACTGGGGGCTTCGGTGGAGCTCCCTATGGGACCACGAAGCGCTGTGCTGGGTGGGTGAAAATGCCAAAGTGGGCTTCCGGGACGCATGCGGACGGTCCCACAGGGTATGTCGGTGGAGCTTCCTATGGGGCCACGAAGCGCTGTACTGGGTGGGTGAAAATGCCAAATTGGGTGTGCGGGACGCACGCGGACGGCCCCACTGGCTGTGTCGGTGGAGCTCCCTATGGGGCCACGAAACGCTGTACTGGGTATGTGAAAATGCCAAATTGTGTGCGCGGGACGCAAGCGGACGGTCCTGGTTGGGCCTCCAACGGAGCTCCGCATGGGGCACCGAAGCGCTGTACCGGGCGGGTGAACTGCCAGATTGGGCGTGTGGGACGCATGTGGGCGGTCCCACTGGGGGCTTCGGTGGAGCTCCCTATTGGGGCCACGAAACGCTGTACCGAGTGGGCGAAAATGTCAAATTGCGTGTGCGGGACGCACGCGGGTGGTCCCACTGGGGGCTTCGGTGGAGCTCCCTATGGGGCCACGAAGCGCTGTACTGGGTGAAGGCGGACGCACGTGGGCACCCCCACTGGGGCCTTGGGTGGGGCTCCCTATGGGGCCACGAAGCGCTGTACTGGGTGTGGCGACGCATGTGGCCACCGCCACTGGGCCTTCGGTGAAGCTTCCTATGGGGCCACGAAGCGCCGTACTGGGTGTGGCGGACGCATGTGGCCACCCCCATTGAGGCCTTGGGTTGAGCCCCCTATGGGGCCACGAAGCGCTGTACTGGGTGTGGCGACGCATGTGGCCACCCCTTCTCGGGCCCTTAGGTGGAGCTCCCCATGGGGCCACGAAGCGCTGTACTGGGTGTGGCGGACGCATGTGGCCACCCCGACTGGGCCCGTAGGTGGAGCTCCCCATGGGGCCACGAAGCGCTGTACTGGGTGTGGCGGACGCAGGTGGCCACCCCCACTGGGGCCTTCGGTGGAGCTCCCTATGGGGCCACGACATGCTGTACTGGGTGTGGCGGACGCATGTGGCCAGCCCCACTGGGGCCTTAGGTGGAGCCCCTTATGGGGCAGCGGGAGGAGGAGACGCGGGGACCGTCTCTTCAAAACGAGGACCCAACACCACAGGATGGTTGGAAATCAAGGGAGGGATGTCCTGGGGTCTCAGGGTTTAGTTTCTTGTGGACGGTTTCTTTTTGACTGGCGTTCTCGCCCTGCGCGCGGGCCGCGCTCCCGGATCCGGGTCCTTTCCTCGTCGTGCCCCCTACATTCTTAAGTCGGGCCTGTCTCTCTACAGGAGGAATGTTCAGAAATAGGCCCCAGGGGTGCCTGGGGGTGCCCAGGTGCCTGGATGCCCGGGTGCCCGGGTGCTTGGGTGCCCGGGTGCCCGTGTGCCCAGGTGTTTGGGTGACCAGGTGCCCGGGTGCCCAGGTGCCCGGTAGATCTCTATAGCCCTATAGCCGTACAGCCTCTAGCCCTATAGCCCTACCAGCCCTATTAGCCCTCTAGTCTTATACCCTTATAGCCCTACAGCCCCATAACCCTCTAGCCCAATAGACCTATAGCCCTATGGCCCTGTAGCCCTAGAGCTCCATAGCCTTCTAGCCCTATGGCCTCATAGCTCCATAGCCCTAAAAGCCCTAAAGAGATTATGATTGGGGTTTCTCTCCGGTATCATTTTTCTTGGCCCTTGCATGGGCGTCGCACAATTGCATTTACTTGGAGCGAGCTCTTCCGGCCACTGCTCATTTCCCTGGTCGCACGGGCAAAACCCCATTGGACCGGTGTTGAAACCATCGAACCGGGGAGTAGAGCGCTGCTGGGACCCCCCGCCCCCGGTTCCCCAGAGGGGGGGAGGTAGGAATTTCTTCCAGTCAAGCAAAGGTGCATCGCGTTCCCTCGGATACTCCCAATTCCGTCATAACGGGGGGGGGGTTCTGATACCCTCCAGACGGGCCGTGTTTGACCCCCCCCCCCCCCCCGAGGGGCGCCCGCATTAAAAAAACAGACCCAGCCCAAGTCAGACCCCCCCCAAGTCCGGCACCCTTCGGCGCCAAAATCATGTTCGCCCCCTTTGCCTTCAAGACAGCCCAAGTCAGATCCCCCAAAAAATCAGACCCCCTCCACTTCATTACGGAATGGCGAGAATCTCGCACGCGCGAGAGCGCCCGTATAATTCGTGCATCGCGCAGCGCGATGCGCCATCTCAGGTGACCTGTACTCAAGGCGCGGAGGTAGTGCGCAGTTCGTGCGGCAGGGGTTCGCTGCTCCCCAGGTTTAAGCCCGGCACGTCTTTCTAGAGGAAGATTACTCAACCATGGCATGTTTTGACCATTTCTGATGGTTTAACAATTTTCAAGGTTTCATCAAAAATCCCCCTGTAGGAGGACATGCCCGACCTAAGGCCCTCTGCTCCCTAGGTTCTTTTAGGTTTGTTCCTCCAGCGTTCTTCGTGCACCCCAGGCGCTTGTGGGGCCAAAAGGGGCCGCGTTCCTTGGTATACTGCCTCTCCTCCTCCTCCTCCTCCTCCTCCTTTTCCACCTCCTCCTCCTCCTCTTCCCCCTCCTCTCTATGCCGGCCCGTTGCACGATTTTAGTGGCAATGCGACGGTTCTCCGCGGTTGACGGATGCGGGACCTTTTGACAGGAGTTTGACTGTAGACGTCCGTCCCATTTTCTCCCCACCTCTTACCCCTTGCTCTCAGCCCCCCTCTTAGGATGCAACCTATTGGAGATTACATTCAGCATCGGCGCTGGTATATCTGATGTCGAAAGCCAGCCAATTCCAGCAACATCCAGCGCACTTCCGCTTGATCTGGCTCAATCGGGCTTGATTCTCGGGTTTGATTCTCGGCTTTCTCTGGGCTGATCTGGCTCAATGGCCATTTATTCGGGCCTGATGGCCCCCAATTGTTCTTACGAGAACTGCCCAGGAGTCTCCTCCAAACCCATCGCTCCGTCGCCTCCCCATGGCCAACCGCCCCCGCCCTCCATTTGCCTGGCGTCTTGCAAAGATCTCCTCACGCCTCGGAG